TGTGCTCATTTGTCACAAGCGCCTGTGTAAAATTATGGCTAAAACTATTACAATAATATAAAGTAGCAAAGGAATAATTATAGTAGTAAAGCATGTTGCTGAAAGAAAATTAACTAATGTTTCAGATCCAGTTACTCCAATGCAAGATCCCGTGATATCAACTAATCCTGTAGTTATAAAGAAAAGGGCTGAAATGTTTTTAGGTATGTTTTATTTTGATTGAGAGATGATAACTATTTATATTTAATATTTGATAATATGATATATATTTCATATTTTTTCTGACATAGACAATATTTATATGTATCATTCATTGACTTATATGTTACTAGCGTAAGGACCGGGCCGACCGCGCAGCTAAATTGCACCAGTGCGCTGGCCCTAAAGTGTCAGTTTAGAGCCAACGCGACTCGGTCGACAGTGTTGCGTGCGCGGTAAAAGGATGCAAAAATACTATACAAAGATTATAAAGGAACGTGGGATATCGTACCATCGGTAAGTAAACTTATAGTCATTTTGTTACAATTAAATAAAAGTAAATAAAAAGTAAAAATAAACGCGATAAAATCCGTAAAAGTAGTTTTAATCATGTATAGTGTTCGCGTAAATATAAGAAATCATTATACAATTAAATTATTATATAATCGCATTTTAGCAAGTTTTATTTTATAGTTAGTTTAGTTACGTTACCAATATTACGCCATGGTTGGATTCAGATCCTCAAATATGTTGTACAGGGAAAATAAAGTTATACTGGGTCCGATTGCGTTTCTTTGGCGCACTTAAATAATGCCGAATAATAGACTTAAATTAGTCTAAAATTCGTACTAATATTATTGCTATTGCGTTTGTTAATTAATTACGTCCACAACACTATTTATGTCCAATTCGGACTTAAATTATGTCTACGCATGTCTTTTGCTATTCCTTTTCTGACAATTTGACAGTTCGTTGGCTTTAAATGAACTTATACGTCTAGGAAGTGTTATTCTTTAAGTTCGCACCTATTTAGTCCGTACGTAAGCTAAGTTTCTTCAGAAAATAGTGAAAAATGTTTCCTTATGGCTGGGCTATCATTCAAAGAAGACACAATGAGGAACGGCAACGGTATGAGTACGAAATTTATATTATAGAAACTGTTTTTCTTGCATACGGTAGGTATAAGCATAACATAACCTAACTTTTTTCGTTGTAGGGCTGCGAGAAGGATAGCGCATCGCCATATTCGGGACCATTCCAACCCTTTCGACGTGCCTGCCAATTGGTTGGTTTTTACCAAATTATACAGGCTCTCCAAAAGAACTGCGCATTTTTTAGTAGAGTGTCTTCACCAGAATTTAAATCGACAAAGGCAGCACGGAATTCCTGTGCGTATCAAAGTTTTGGCTTCACTCCATTTCTTTGGACATGGCGGCTACCAAACAACGGTTGGGCAGGGGCAGTATTTAGGTTTAAGTCAGCCATCTGTAAGCAAATGCTTACAAGAAGTTGCTGATGCAATTATAACTGTTTTATTGAACGGTATGGTGCTATTTCCAGAGACTAAAGAGGAAAGCCGTGTAGTGGCGGTTAAGAATATCCACTACCCCATATCTTCCCGTGGGTGTCGTAAGAGGCGACAGAGGGAAACAGGCAGGAGATGGGCAGCAGCATCTTCCTGATAACAGCAACTGTACGACAAAAAAAACTGCGGTTGCCAACCCGCTCGCCAAGCGTGGCAACTATGGCAATATACCCCCCATGAACAATTACACAAATAGACTGCCCCCAGTCCCCGGCGGCCCCGCTATTCCTGGCTACGGTGGTGACCATGGTAACAGCGGGGCAGGGGGTGCTAAGCAGTAATCTCCGGTGGAGGTTCGGTTGCCACCTACGACGACTCGACCTGGCAACATTTAACGCACGCACACTGAGGACTGACGAGAAGATCCTGGAGCTGGAAGAAGAGATAGACACGTTGCGCTGGAGTATTATAGGATTATCCGAGGTCCGAAGAGAGGGGGAGGACACGGTGATTCTCGAATCCGGCAACTTGTTCTATCACCGGGAGGGCGACCATCTGTCCCAAGGAGGTGTCGGATTTATCGTCCACAAGTCTCTCGTCAACAACGTTGTAAAGACTGGGAGTGTGTCGACGAGGGTCGCGTACCTGATACTCAGAATCACCAAACGGTATTCGCTGAAGGTCATACAGGTTTACGCACCAACCTCGGCACATCCCGATGAGGAGGTGGAGGAAATGTATGAGGATATTTCCAAAGCCATGCATTCCTCCAAAACCCACTACACGGTGTTGATGGGAAACTTCAACGCAAAACTAGGCACAAGAGAAAACGGTGAGCTGAAGTTATGGAAATTTAGAGTAGGGCAATGGAACCGAAGGGGCCAGCAGCTGGCCGACTTTATGGAGAAATAGGGACTCTTTGTGATGAACTCTTTCTTCCAGAAGCGGCCCCACAGGAAGTGGACCTGGTCGAGCCCCGACGGTTCGACAAAAAATGAGATTGACTTCATTATGACGACCAAACGGCAACTGTTCAGTGATGTCTCAGTAATCGCAAGGGTGAAAACTGGCAGCGATCACCGAATGGTTAGAGGCACACTGAACCTAAGCGTTAAGTTGGAGAGGTCTCTTCTAATGAAGTCAACGCTCCGTCCCCCTCGTGCTCTAATCCAAAATCCCGAAAACTTTCAGCTCGAATTACACAACCGCTTTCAGTGCCTACAAGATTGCAATGCAGTGGACGATATGAATGACAAGCTCGTGGAAACTGTCCATGCGGTCGGAGCTAAGTTCTGCAAGACCCGCCGCAGAAGAACACAAAAACTCTCCGATCACACTCTTAATCTCATGGCTGTTAGACGGGAGATGAGGCTGCAATCGTCAACAGATTTGACAGCATACAGGCAACTGAACAGACAGATCTCCAAATGCATGCGGCGAGACTTACGCAACTTTAATACTGCTCGTATTAAAGAAGCGATCGAGCGGAACCAGGGCTCCAAAGTCTTTGCCAGAGATCTGTCTGCCCGTAAGAGCCAACTGTCAAGGCTGAAGACTGAGTGTGGCAGCATCGTTTCCGGGACACCTGAGATTTTGAGTAAGATTGAGAGGTTCTATGGGCAGCTGTACACATCATCGTTGGAGCCACACGCAAGTGTGAGTAACGATCCAAGAGCAAGTCTTATCCGACACTATTCCGATGATATCCCGGACGTCAGTCTAAGCGAGATTAGAATGGCTCTCCAGCACCTTAAAAACGGCAGGGCCCCAGGCGAGGATGGAATTACAGCGGTTGGGGGGGTGTTTTTTGGTCCCAGATTGTACAGAAGACTGAAGAGTACAATTTGCCACTTTGCCTGGCGTATGTGGACTATGAGAAAGCCTTTGATTCCGTCGAAATTTGGGCGGTGCTGCAGTCCCTTCAGCGGTGCCAAGTTGACTGTCGGTATATCGAAGTGCTGAAGTGTTTGTACAGTAGGGCTACGATGGCTATCCGAGTACAGAACCAGAGCTCGAAACCTATCCAACTGCTGAACATGGACAAAACAAAGATCATGTTTAACGTCCATGTCACACCTATGCCGGTAGTTGTTGGGAGCACTATGCTCGAAGTTGTTGACGAGTACGTTTACCTGGGACAAATAGTCCGACTAGGTAAGTCCAACTTCGACCGAGAGGTCAATCGACGGATTCAACTCGGCTGCGCAGCGTTCGGGAAATTACGACATATCTTCTCGTCAGGTATACCTCAATCTCTGAAAACTAAAGTGTACAACCAGTGCGTGTTGCCAGTGATGACTTACGGATCAGAGACGTGGTCCTTCACTGCTGGCCGTATGAGGACGCTCAAGGTCGCTCAGCGAGCTATGGAGAGGGCTATGCTCGGAGTTTCTCTGCGTGATAGACTCAGAAATGAGGATATCCGCAGTAAAACCAGAGTGACCGACATAGCCCAACGGATTAGTAAGCTGAAGTGGCAATGGGCCGACCATATAGCTCGAAGAACCGATAACCGATGGGGAAGAAAGTTTCTCGAGTGGCAGCCTCGTACCGGTAGGCGTAGTGTAGGGCGACCCCCCACTAGATGGAGTGACGACCTGGTAAGATATGCAGGAGGTCGATGGATGCAGGTGGCTCAGGACCGTGCTTTGTGGCATTACTTGGGGGAGGCCTATGTTCAGCAGTGGACTTGTGAAGGGCTGTGATGATGATGATGATGATGAAGAGGAAAGGGCAGAAAATAAACAGAGGTTTTTACAGATAGCTGGGTTTCCTTCAGTCTTGGGTTTGATAGACTGTAGTCAAATCTCCATTGTTCGCCCAAAAGACACAGCACTTGTGCCAGCGAGATTATTTTTTAATCGCAAAGGCTTTTATAGTCTTAATTGCCAATTTGTATGTAATGCAAAGATGGAAATAATTCATTTCAATGCCACTTTTCCTGGATCAACACATGATGCAGCGGTCTGGCAAGGATCCAGTTTAAGCCAATTATTGGAAACTAATTATATTAACGGAGTTTCAGCTGGTGAATGGCTTCTAGGAGACTCTGGATATTCCCAACTGCCTTGGCTGATCACCCCGTATGCTGATGCGGATGAAAATACACCTGAGGCTAGATATAATTTATCGCATACTAAAACGAGAGTTCTTATTGAAAAATGTTTTGGAGTGATGAAAACAAGATTTAGATGCATTCACAAGCACAGGACGTTGCATTATGACCCCGTGAAGGCATCTAAAATAATAGCAGCTGTATTTGTTCTCCATAACGTGGCAATTAAGAGAAATGAACCTTTACCAGATGAATTGGAACTCGAAGACAGATTGCGGCCAGCAGATGATCCTCCCAGGGATATGAATTTTTTAAATGTGGCAAGAAATATTCGAAATAACATCACAAGACAATACTTTGCATGATGTGTTTTAATTAAAGATTTAAATTAAAGAATTAATAATAAAACTACTAAATATAACTTAATTTCGAAAAAATTGTTTATTTATTTTTATTGATCGCTTCGACGAACATGGTAGCTGCACGCATTATGCAATCGCCAAGATACCGAGCGGCCTCTGTCTGCGCATTGGCGAGCGCCATCTGCGCTTGGGCTCCCTCCCTTAAAGCCGCTATCATGGCATCTTCTTGCGGGGTGGCTGAATCGGCTGGCGGCACGAGCGTACGGGGCGTTGCTCGACGCGCGTTGCGGCGCTCGAGGCGCGGAGTGTTGCGCACCACGCCGTCCTCCAGTCTCTGTTCAGGGGTTGAGGCCACGGTGTGTTCACGACTGAATCGTCGCCAGATCCCTATGTGCCGCTGACATCATCAACGCGTCTACCGCAATTCGACCAACGCGAGATGCTGTCGGTATTGATGACGCGTCCGTCGCCATTGAAGTGACGACAGTCGCCCCATCGTGACTCGCCGTCGGTGTCTACGCGTCCACCATAGCCGCTTCCTTCGGGGGTTCTTCTTCAGTGTCTGAATGTATATCCTGCATAGTACAATTACAAGGATAAATTCATACAATTGTACCACTATGAAGTCAATTTCAGAATACCATTATGCATAAAACTCTTTTTAACATGACTTCAGTATTTATTATTCATACCATTAATAATGCGTTTATTCTATAATTACCAAAATTGACAATGAAAACAAAATCTAATCAGTAGAACTCAAGTCATAATAAGGGCACTGTTTAAACTTATTTATAAAACTAACAAATCTTATTTATATGTATATAATAATGTTGTTGTGAATAGGTAAAATATACTCACAACTGTTACTGCGTCTAAAATCAACGTCTGCTTGGGCTTTGGCAGTTGAGTATCATCCAAAACCTGTAGTCAAAATAAAATCAACTTAACATCAGACCATTTCTGGTAATAAATATCACGACTGCTACAAGCATTGCCATAACACACTCACCATGACTATGTTTTGTGTAACATAAGGATCCGGAACATCAACAATCCGGGCTGTGGAGTCCCTGGGACAATAATAATACCCTGTAAGAAATTTACAAGTCAAGGATCAAGGTTTTCCGTACGTATTATAAAAGGACATCTTTATAATATTAATGCTATGTAATGTATGTAGTTTTCAAAATTAACACAATTGTGATGATTGATGCAACCATGAAAAAATAAGTAAATCTAATGTAGAGCTTACAAAAAACTAATGCCAATAACTTACAGCTTCCACAGCTCCAGGCAATCCATATATAGTTGATGTCCCCTCTATATTTATTGTTTTTTTCTCCAGTTCTGTCAAGCAGATATCTGCTGGAGGACCACCTCCAGTCCTTTGCATAGATGCACGCTGTGTGCGCATCTTAGCCTTCGCCCTGCGTGCTAATAACTTGTATGTCTGAAAAATTTAGATTATACATTTAACAACAACTAATATCCAAGTGGGTAAAGTAGGTTGGTTATGATTAAAATTTTAAAGTTCACTGATATATTTAGTACAAAATTAGGACAATTTAATGTATGAAGCACCACTAACTAACCTCTAACCAATCTTTCTGTGTCTTACGAACACCTCCCATTCCATTGAGGGCTTCTGTCAGTTCAGTCCACAATCTTTTGGTAGCCGGCAACTGACAATTTCCTGTTGATAAATAAAGACAAATGAAGTATAGGTAAGTATGAAAACATCATGTTTTATTGGATGCCAATTATTTTTATTATATGTTATGTTATAATTTAACGTGAATAAATGATTGTAAATGTAATAACAAACGTTGCAATGCGATATGACTACCAAACTGAATTTACACAGGAATGCTTGTAGATAGGATAAGTTAGAGTGCAATTATATGATTATGATCAAATTTAAAATGAACTTGCTATTCTGTAAATAGATGCATGGATGAGTAGGGTAAATCGATAGATTAAAATATAACAATTTACACTACTAAAACAAAAATTCACATGAAATATTTTGTAAACATACCGTTAACCGTTTCCGGATTCCTCATCAAGAAGTTTAATAAATATTGTTGCTGTTCTTTCTTCATTCTTGGCTTCTTTGTATCCATATTTATTAAAATTTTAATAATTCTTGCGAAAACTCACACAAAAAATAACCACTACAGACTTGACAACTTGACAGACTAGTGGTGTGGTGTTGCCATTTGCGGCGGCAAACGAACGTAATTATGTCCATTTCCATAGACGTAGAATTAAGTTCAAATTTAGTGACGTGAACTTATTTTAACAGAAACGTAATAGCTTTAGGTTAAGAACATGGACATATTTAGTAAAATTTTAGTCTGTCATTATTTAGGTTCGAAGAGAAACGCAATCGGATCCATTATTTGTCCAAAATTATACCACGTTGGACGTCTCATGTTTTTTTTTGCCAACATTTTGGCGTCACGCGTCTAGTGTTCCATACATTTCGATTTTTGGTTTTATTAATATTTCTGTTTTATTTGTGTCTTAAGAACTTAGTGTGAGTTAAAGTTTGAATATTGGCACCTAATATGTTCTATATTCAATAAGGGTAAAATAAAAAGAGCACAAAAGAAACGATACCTACTTAATTGAAACTGAACATCGTATTCATAAAATATTTTGAAATTCTGTTGTCTTTACAACACAAACTGAGAGAAGCCGCTGCCGTCATCAAGCTTCTGGTAAAAAGGGATAGGAGAAGACTTATAATCAATGTTTAAATATGTGCGATGACGAATTAAGATTCGCCTAGTATTATTAGGATACTACATACTGCACACATTATGAAATAATGGTATAAAAAGGATTATTACGTTTGTATTATGACAGATGCACTACTTCTTCTTGTATGAAGAAGTTATGAGTAAAATATTTAGATGGGCGTATACTTTCTTTTGAAATCATTGGTATCATTACTTTAGCCTAATGGCAGGGTGCGGACCGCGAACTCAAAAGGTCATGAAATCGAATCCGACATTAGACTACTCTCGTGAACCATTATTTTAGTTTTAGTATTTTATCAGCCTTTTTTACGTAGTAGAGTCATGCTACAGTTATATTATTAGTATAGTTGTAGCACGAATGGGTCGACTCGACTGGGGAAGGACATCGCTCTCACAGAATACCAGCGTAAAATAGTAGCTTAATGCTACTGTGTTTCGTATGGTGAGTATAGAGAACCGGAGACCCTTTTTGCTGGAAACGAGGCATTCCATCTTAGTCCTCACGGGTGACAACGCGTCTGCATTTTGATTCGTAATCGAGGATAGATGTAGATGTCTATGGGCCACAGCAACCACTTACCGTCAGGTGGACTGTGTGCTCGTTTGTCACCCTATTCTATTAAAAAAAGCGCTTTCTATTTTGATTATTACTGCACCACCTCTTATATTTTTATCTCTTTTTAGCTTAATAGTTGAATGATAGAATACCCCATGGCATTAAGTGCGCCCTATGAACTATTCTGTGCATGAACGTAAAATAACACATTTAAAGTATTTAGATTAGAGACTAGGTACCAAAATTGACATTAAATTATTGGTCAATAAATTTAAAACTATTAGATTCAGGAAAGTCAATTCGCAACCACTAATAAATACTTATTGATGTTTGTGGGGTGTTGCAATAATTGTTCCTTTTTTTCCTTTCTTAAACAAAACTGGATGATTTTTTTTTAATTTCTAATTTATAAGGAGGAACATTAGCAGACAATAAAAAGACAAAAGGTATCCTTCCAGAAGAGTACAAAGATGCTGATCTGCTGCTTTTATGGATAATATTTTCGACTCAGTTAATGGCAGTTTTAAAAAGAAAAGATGCCAAAACTCTACTTGGACCTGCAGCAGCTCACTCCATACATCAAAAAACATGGATGGATGCCAAAAAAGTTTTTTCTTCTATGATGTTTATATCTTCCACTGGTAGAATCTATTCCAACTGTAAACAATTGGATGTGGACACTAGAAGCGACGGAAGTTTTATTAAAAAAATTTAAATTGATTTTGGCATTACATCAGTGTGGTTGCGTCATCAAAATCAGGACCCACTGGAAAATTACCTTGGTGCAGTTAGAAGCCATGGGTGCCGTAATATTAATCCAACTTGTGACCAATATAAGTCAGCTTTTGCTACCCTTTTGATTAATAATTTAAGTAGTGTAGCAGCCAGACTATTACAGTGGTGACCCGTACGAACACCGCGTAGGAAGCCCGTGGCGAACACCGAGGAGGAAGATCCCGGTACGAGCACCAAGAAGGAACACCCTGCGACGTACCACCATTACAGTGTAGTAGTACGAACACCGTTAAGGAAGACTTCAGTATATATGAAATCAGTGTAATCAAGCCGTCATTATGGAGCAAAAGGCGAACACATATACATCGATTGTTGAAGAAATTCGGAAGCTATCATTCGAAGTCGCCGCGTTCAAAGCTTCCCGCAATCAGCAACACCGAAGAACCGTCGCAACCGCTCTGCAAGTAGAAGTCGAACAAGCTCAAGAACAAGATCCCCTTACTGCTACTATCATCGACGTTTCCGGTTCGAGGCACGAAAATTTACAACACCGTGTACATTCAAAAATGAAAATACGAAGGCGCTCGAACTAACTAATACGCTCAATGCGATGGGATCCAGCGTAACAGCAAAGTCCAACCGTCTTTTCGTCACAGATAAAAAAAGCAAGCTTACTTTCCTTATCGACACCGGAGCAAATATCTCAGTGTTACCGCCGAAACAAAGGCAGAATTTGAAGCCACTGGATTTTCAACTCTATGCAGCAAACAATACGGTGATTCCTACATATGGAGAAAAAACAATGGAACTTGATTTAAACCTACGTCGACCATTCAAATGGAGATTTATCGTCGCTAAAGTCAGCAAACCAATCATCGGTGCTGATTTTCTTCAACATCACCAGTTGATCGTCGACATCAAAAATAGAAGAATCATCGACGGGAAAACCAATCTTGCATCTCAGTCTTTTGTCCAAGCAACCAATCTGCCCACAATAAGAAGCATAGATGTTCAACAACCGTATCACAAGATCCTCGAAGAATAGCCTGGTATCACAAGAATAACTTCAATGAAATTAACACCGAAGAACGACGTTGAGCATTTCATGGAAACCAATGGACCAGCACTTCATTGCCGTGCACGTCCAATCGCACCACACCTGTACGAGCAAGTTCGAAAGGAATTCGAAAACATGATTGAGCAAGGAATATGCCGTCCAAGCAAAAGCCCTTGGTCATCACCACTTCACATTGTACCGAAGAAGAACGGTGAATTACGAGTTTGTGGAGATTACAGAAGACTTAATTCTATTACCACTCCTGACCGCTACCCAATCTCGCGAGTCAGGGATTTCACTCATCAACTATCAGACAAGACTATATTCTCCACCATCGATCTAAACCGAGCGTACCAACAAATAAAAATACGCGATGAAGACATAGAGAAGACAGCAATAATTACCCCAATGGGATTATTCGAATTCCAAAGAATGATCCCGGGATTAAAGAACGGAGGTCAAATTTTTCAAAGATTCATACACGAAGTACTTTATGGACTGGATTTCGTTTTCGCATTTATTGATGATCTCCTTGTTGCAAGCCCTGATAAAGAAACGCACGAAACCCATCTACGCACTACGCACAGCGATTAGAAGACAACGGAATCACAATCAATCCTTCGAAATGCATATTTGGACAGCAAGAAGTTCAATTTCTTGGTTTCACCGTCAGCAAGGAAGGAATCAAACCGCCTGCCGAAAAAGTCAGCAATCATCGATTATGCGAAACCTAAAACTATCGAAGAGCTAAGGCGTTTTCTTGGGATGATAAATTTTTACAGAGAACACATACCTAAAGCCGCTGAAATCCAAGCACCACTTCACGCCTACCTTCACAACACGAAGAAAAAAGATAAAACGTCAATCGAATGGAACGATGAAGCCACGAAGGCATTTGAAGCTTGTAAAGTTGCGATCCAAAATGCAGCATTACTCACTCACCCATCACATGAAGCAACCCTTGCTATCTTCAGCGACGCATCCGATCTCTCAGCAGGAGCCGTTCTCCAACAATACAGCAATGGGAAATGGCAACCACTTGGCTATTTTTCGAAGAAGTTCTCCGATACTCAACGTAACTACAGTACATTCGACCGAGAGCTACTCGCTATTTACATGGCTATCAAGCACTTCAGAAAAACAACATTTCGAGGGTCGAAACCTGATCGTTTTTACCGACCACAAGCCATTAACATATGTACTTCCCAAGAAACCATCACTATCGGAAACACCACGAAGAGCAAGACAACTTATTTTCATAAGTGAATTCAAGACCGACATACGTCACATCAGTGGAAAGGACAACATAGTCGCCGACGCACTCAGTCGCGTACCAATCGACAGTGTAACGTGCCCTACATCAATCGACTATAATAAGATCGACGCAGCACAAGACAGAGATAGTGACAACATAAAACATCTATCGAAGCAAGGTAGCTTATCCATCAAGCAATGCCAATGACGCATCTACCTATATACTGTGAAGCCTCAACGACAACCATGCGACCATACCTACCAGAAGAATGTCGTCGCGAAGTCTTCAATGCACTGCACAACATCAGTCATCCAGGTGTTAGAACAACAAGAAAACTCATCACTGAAAAATTCTTTTGGCCTTCAATGCAAGTGGATGTTGGCAACTGGGCGAAGCAATTCATTCAATGCCAAAAATGCAAAGTACAAAGGCATACATCAAGTAGCCTAGATACATTTCCACCCACGGAGAGATTCGAACACCTGCACGTTTACATCGTCGGACCATTACCTACTTCACCGCAAGGACATCGTTACCTCGTAACAATGATCGACAGAACAACAAGATGGCCAGAAGCAATACCTACCGATGATACTTCAGCCGAATCCAACGCGAAGATAATTTATGAAAATTGGATTACTCGTTTCGGATCACCTAAAACCGTCACAACGGATCAAGGAAGAAATTTCGAAATTTCGAATATTCCTCAAACTTCTTCAAACTATGGGAATACAGAAGACACGTACAACAGCATA